GGGGAGCGTGTCGATAATGTATTCAATTTTGGAAGTTGAAGCCTTAAGATGAGTGGAAGTGAAGAAACGAAAAAAATGAAACCCACTGTACAAACAGTAATCAAATTGATAAGTTATGCGATTATAAATTTTATGGACGAATCAGATAGAAATATGATACAATTATAAAAGCTGCTGCACTGTACTGACTGGTCGGCGTACATGTCACGACCCAAAATCTAATCATGGTCGTGATGGCGCCTATCGCGTTACAAGGCAAGCCAATTCCCAAAATATTACTACTAATTTGATTATAAGAATTTAATAAAATATTTCCAATAATTTAATTCCTGATAAACTAAACCAACTCTAAATATAAATAATATAAAATACGAAAACGATTCCCAAACATCGGGGTGTCACTAAGTCATGAGCGTCTAAAACTATGAACTGAGATATATTATCTATCTAACTGTCCAAAGAAGAAATGATAAAAGGAGTAACAAGGTCCTGCGGACGCTGGCAGCTACCTTGCAGTCTCCAATTAAAGCCGGCCTGAACTCAACGATCACCGCACTCTAACTCACTGGGGGTGTGTACAGACTCCGGAGGGGCTCCCAAAGCCCAAGCGCTAACCACGGACAACTCACGTTCTACCATATCAATAACTGGATCCGCACGGCCAACTCACGTGCTACGCGGACAACTCACGCGCTATGGTATCAATACCTGGACCCGCACGGTCAGCTCACGTGCTACGCGGACAACTCACGCGTTATGGTATTAATATCCTCACAACCAGGCCCTCGGCCTCACTCAGTCATGTACCTCACTAGCCTCACCATCATCAACAAATAAGGGAACACAGACCACATCAAGTATCACAACATATTAGCAAATAATAGAGACTGAGGTAAACATGTACAATAATTTCTATGACTGAGTACAAATAATGTGAGCATGAGTAAAACCTAAACAGGATCTCTAACATGAAGGCAAACAAGTTCAACAACAAGTAAACACATAACCACAGATAATAGCTTTTAGGCATGGCCTCACGGGACGGACCGAGTGTCAATCTCACGCGGTGCACACCCACACGCCCGTCACCTAGCGTGGGTATCACCACCAAACAATCACATGATATCAATTTCTCTGGGTTTATACCCTCAAAGCCAGAGTTAAAATTGTTACTTACCTCAACAGCGTAAAATCCAACTCCGAGATGTCCTCGTCCCTCGACTCGGTATCCAAAAGCTTCGAATCTAACCATAATCAGAATACTAATATCAACATAGTCGAAAGAATCGAATTACACAATAAAAACTACATAAACATGCCAAAAATCCGAAATCGGCCAAAACTCGTCCCCCGGGCCCACGTCTCGGAATCAGTCAGAAATGGCAGAATAATAATCCTCGTCCTCTCCCGAGTCTAACCATATAAAATTTGTCAAAATCGGACTCTGTTTGGTCCCTCAAATCCTCACTTAAAACTCTCCAAAACTCAAACCCTAACTCCCTCAATTTCACTTTGAAATCATCAATCAAATCCCAAAAACGAAGATGGATTCATAAATCATAATCAAAATCGAGTAGAGAACACTTACCCCAATTCATATGGTGAAACTCGCCTCCAAAATCGCCCAAATCTGAGCTCCCCAACTCAAAATATGACCGAATGAACAAACCCTAGTTTTGTATATTTTTCTACCAGCTATTCTGCCTCGTTTCTAGAGCCAAACGATCCCGAAACTCGTATTTTATGCCTCCAGTGTATTCCTTGTAAAATTCTAGTCAAGTTAGGCTTTTGAATCACTCAATTTGACCTTATAACGAAGGAGATATATAAGTTTTAATATTTGCAAATAGTGCAGATTTTTAAATACGTTGCTATTGACAATTTCCTAATTAATCTGAAAAATTTGGCAACTCTATTCTTAGTAAAATCACCATAAAATTCTCATATGATGTCCAAATTCGACGATTCTTTTTGCTACAGGTCCGTAATTACAATACGGATCTAATGCTTCAATCAAAAAAGAAATCGGAGCTCATTTGTTCAATATGATATCATTTATGCTTGAAGAAACAGCGTCACAACATAAGAAAAACGAGCGCAACACAACCCAAACCTATCCGAAACTCACCCGAAGCCTTCGGGACCTCAACTAATAATTCCAACAAGTCATATATCACTACCTGGACTTAGTCAAACCTCCGGAACACCCAAAACAACACCAAAACACCAAATCAACCTCGAAATTCAAGCCTAAGACTTTTAAACTTTCAACTTTTGCCAATTCAAGCCTAATTCTACTACGATTTTCCAAATTATATTCCGGACATACTCCTAAGTCTAAAATCAACCAACGAAGCTAATCGAATCATAAAAATCAAAATCCAAATTCGTTTACTCATAAGTCAACTTCCGGTTGACTTTTCTAACTTAGCTTTATAACTAAGAGACTAAATGATCATTTCACTCCAAAACTACTCCAAACCCAAACCTACCAACTCGATACAACTCAACACAACTGAACAACACATAAAAAAACAGAAATAAGAGAACGGGACTACAACTCTTAGAACGACTAACCGGATCGTTACAGTACAGGTCAACTATACAACTATAAAAGCTGCTGCATTGCACCGACTGGTAGCAGTACATCAACACAATTGCACTGTACCGACTGGTAGCAGTACATCAACACAATTGCAGCTTGCTAGAGACCGAAAATACCCTTGTATCTTCTCTCGCGCTCTCACATATATAAACAACATGATACAAGGTTTGACCTAACACTTGCAAACCTAAACATATTCTCTCAAGTGTACCAGCCGCCACTGTTACCTCCAGGTGCATTCAAGAACAAAGCTGTTACAAACCAAGAACAAAGTTGTTAAGAAATTACAAACCAAGAACAAAGTTGTTAAGAAACCAAAGATCAGATCCCAACATTAAAGATATCTTGAATCCTTAAGTTTTTTATGTCTTTGTCTTTTGTTCTTTACTTGTATTCCTACACATTTTTTTAGAAATATTTTGTAGAACATCATTTAACCATTATTGCATAGGGCTTACAATAGAGTTGTAGAGATTAAGAGTTTAATTCTTAAATGCAATAGGTTATATATAATCTGACGTTTGCTCAGTTTAGTAAAGTTGATTATTTGGGTAGGTCAGTAATTTTTAATCACGTAAGCAAAAAACTTTTCTAATGTAAATATTGAGTGTTCTTTACTTTCTACTTGGTGTGAGAACTGGTAGACGTTCTCTATACTGTTTGGTGACGCTTAGTTTCCATCACAAAGTTGGAACGCTATTCAGAGCCGCCTAACTTCTCCCCCCTCCGAATGTTCAGAGTCGTTTTACAAACAGTACTCAAATTAAGAACTCGGACCGATGATCAACGTACCACAATCTAAACCAGAAACCTTTTATTTGTGTTGTATTACACTATATAAATACATAGTCCAAAAAAGAAAACAGAGGAAAAGTTTGGTTCAGCCTGTTTTGTTATGGTTGGTGGTGCCACTACCCGCTCCTCAAACAGCTTCCTTAGCAGACTCAAGTTTTTCAGCAACTTTAGCGGCCACGGAATCAGCAGTGCTGCGCTTCTCGTATGTGAGAGGAACATGGGTTATCTTCACGTCCTCTTTCTTTGGCTCTTCTTCATGTCCTACTGATGTCTTGTAATTTGTGGCGTCCACCTTAATCTCCACCGCTCCTTCTTCGTTTATTCTCTCCGTTCCCTGTAACACCATCAAATTAAATTAGAACAATAAAAAATCTGATTATAACATCCAAAATCCAGGTAATTAATTACAGAAGCATAGTTGTTTGTGGGTATTCTGTAACGTACCTTTGAGGTGTCCATGTTTTCAATTTTTCAAAACAACCTTCGCTCGGTATGAGAATTTCACGACTGTATAAATACGATTTAGGTATGAGAGTGACGAAATCAATTAGATAACGAGAAAGGGCCGACAATGCTGTTAGGCTTGAGCACGTCATATATTTTTAAGTCGTGTAATGGCTATGTACAATTGGTCATCTGCTAACATATTTTAGAAACCTGACACGTACTAGTGAACCTGGCACATTGTCATCTCTTTTTACAACACAAAGCCAAAACAACATGGGTTGGTTCAAGGACGAAAATTGAGGGCTAGTAAAGTTTACACTAATTATTGGACCTTGACGTCTTCTATACGGAACGAGTTTTGGCCGTGCAATGTGTGAGTTAGTTAGAATTTGGACTTAAGTTAATTGGTTATAGCCTGAAAGGATAGTGCCGTAACTTAAGTGATGATAAATAAAATGACTAATTTAAATATTGAGTGTGTGTGGATAAGTGAGACTCAATAACTATTGACCTGTAATGGGTAGGTATTCTTTATAAATAGAGGTCACCCCCCTTTCCCTAGCTATTGAAAAACCCTAGCATATTCTGCCTCTTAAATACGTGGTAACGGTAGACGTCCCATCAGTCAAGTTCTCCTATCTGTGAGGGCGTGTAGCTAGTGGATTGTGAAGTTGGTCTAAGGCTTAATCGTCGTTTGCTGTCGCTGTTGAATCCATGGAGTTTAACGGTACATTTCCTTAGACTCTAAATCAAGATTATGATTCTATATCTGTATAGTTGTGTCTTAATCTCTACTATGGCTGCGATTTAATAATCTAACAATTGGTATCAGAGCCACCATAATTTGAGATTAAGATCATTGTTTAATCTTGAGTTTATACTTATGAACTGATATTCATTTCGAATACTGAATAACAAAATTAATTGAACATGTTCAACCTGTTAAACTTGAACGAAAGTATTTTTAATTTCACTGACTTGTTTTGACGGCCACCGCCGAATCTCTATCCTTCTTAAGTGGAGATTAATTTTGTGAATTAAAATAATAATCTACAATATATTAAAAGCAGGAACATCTAAATCTAAAAGTCAAATTACCAAATTACCCCTTTAGTATTTATTAAAGTATCCTTTTAATTAACCTAAATATCAAAATATTAAGAACCATATAAAAACCTAAACTATGCGCCACTTCAGCAAAATCTCCTACGTACTGACATTATCCTACAAACAGACGCCAAGCTCCGGACGGGCACTTTTTTGAAGAAGAGTAGCCACCATTTATTTTCTTCAAATTTAGAAGTCAAAAATATCTCATGGCACTCTTTTCTCACTCTTCTATCCTGTTAAAGTTTCACCAGGTTTTGCTCCTTTTTAAAACTTATATTTTTGTTTAATTCTCAACTTATTTCATATAGAAGTTTCTAAATCTACTTTTACAATTTGTTAGTGAATTGAGATATGCTATGTGAAATGGTCCTATTGATGGCTAGAGTTTAATTGAGTTCTAATTTTCAAGGTTTAGTTTTCTCTATTTCCTTTTTAAAATTCTGTATTTGTCTCTCAACTTATATTCAGTCATATGTATTTTTATGGATTTATATGTTTACTTTTACAATTAGTCAGAGCTCGAATTTAGTTGTCTCCGGGTTTACAACGAGAGAAAATAAATTAAAAATTTTGGGTTTAATTTAGTTCCTTACAGTTGATCTTTCTTGAAAAGCACAATTATGAAAAGTCCTATTTCACTGTTATGGTATTTCTCTTTTCTAGCATTTTTGATGTTGAATCTTGAAAAGTGAAAAATTTGCCTTTTTCTTGAGACCTGGCATATAGCAGAATTAATTAGAGGAATGAGGCTTATTCAAAGTCAGAATCTTTTATGTAATTCTAAATTTCTCTTTATTCTCTAATATATTTGGTTGTTGCTTCCAAATGTTGATAGAGAAAGTAAGCGACGTTCAGAATTGGCATTTTGTTTTAATGTTTTTAAGGATTTTGAGTTTTTTCCTGATTAATAGCAAGTCCAACTAAAATAATTGGATGATTCCCGGTTCAACATTTATTCTCTGCAATATTTCGTTTACAACTTATTTTTAAAATTTTAAAAATATTTATATGTCAAAATTAAATATATAAATGTCATAAAATTATATACAAAAGAGCCATTGAGAATGTTAATAAGAGATATAAAGGAGTTTCACATAATCGTGAATTTGGATTACTCTTGCCTTAGTCTTGGAGCAGTAGTCAAGTTGTCTCCGTGTGACCTATAGGTCGCAAGTTCAAGCCATGGAATCAGCCTATCCTGATGCATGCATCAGGATAGGTTGCCTACATCACACTCAATTAGGATGTGGCCTTTTCTCAAACCCTATATGAACGCAAACTATTTTGTGCACTGAGTTGTTTTGTTTTTTTTCCTTAAACATATCATTGTTATAAGAGAATGTCATCTTGTACAGGAAGCTCTAAAAAGCCCTTGTCTTGTACGTCATGTGTGACTTTCTTCATTAGAATAGGATAAATAGGATGGAATATTTCGATTTTTTGGTACAGGAATTGGAGGCACGCATGGAATAAATTATAACAAGCAAATTATTGATCTATTGGATCAGGGGCAAATGCATGCTTAACGAAGCGGTGTCACGCGACACCGCTTCGTCGAATTTTTTTACTACATATATGTATTAATATTGTGAGGAACAGATAAGTAAGAAAAAATGACACTAATTGACATAAATTGTATCTTGGAGTGTTGATTATCTACCTGATTTTGCTCTAAAAGGTCAGAGGTGCAAACCTCAACTAGCACCTTTTTTTTCCAAATATTTGAGAGAGTCTTTGTGGTTTAAAATTGTGATAAAGTAGAATTTAATTCAGGACCTTTTCTAACTTAAGACTTAACAAAACCATTAGATTATTGCAGTTCTTCTATAAATTTCGACACCACTTACAAAAATTCATGCGTACACCCATATATTGAATCATTCCTCCGTCAACTTGCAAGTAATAATCTCAATTGCTAACATTTTATCTAATTTATAATTTATTGACGTATTGTCCAAATAGACGTTCATTTTGCAATGACATATGAAGAGTTAAACCTTCTTGTAAAAGCAGAAGATAGCCCCTATAAGTTCAATAGTTGTTTCTTCTTTTCATTAGGATTTGCCTCTCTTTTTTAGTTATTTTTCTAATGTATCCCTAGCCTTTCCATGTAACTAAAATTACAAGACAATTCTTACCAAATATCGAAAAGCTTTGTAGTACAATCTTCCTAATATATATAGATCTAGAATATGATATCTGATGAAAGATGTTGCCATCTGACTTATAATACTGCTATTATATGCTTTCTTACTCTTGCAGACAATCCTATATTTGAACAAGATGAGTGTACACGAATTGACCAACAATCCATGTGAGTTCCCCCTTTCTACTACTTTTAGTTTGTTGCGTTCATGAAATTATTTTAGAGGAAACATACTTCTTGCAAATGATGGTAATATTTTTTTACTATATCATGATTATTTTAGGAAAGCACAACGACAAAGCAATAATAAAATCCATCATTTTGATAAATATATCAATTCCTTCTACAGTTTCCTCTTTATATTTTTTTTCCATTTTAGTTTATCTTCACATTGTATAATGTTTTTTTTGTTGAACTTATGTTGTTTTTATCTAAGGCTCATTTAATTATTAATAGTGGAGAGCTCCTCGCGGTGATAAGGCTAATGTGAAGAAGGACCTTAGTCACCCGAATAAGATATCAAGCTCAAAGATTTTATTAAAAAATATATAATTGGAGTAATTTTGAGCAGCACATTATATATTGTGACGTATTGATTATCTAATTTTCAGCCAGTAGATAAACGAGGACTCATTATGCACTTCAAATTGTTTTTTTTCGTGATGACATATCAAGCTCAAAGATTTTACTAAAAATATAAAATTGAGTATTCTGAATAGTACAGGGCATAAGTGAATCGTTTTATTTAATTTCTCTTACATGAATACCTAATTTTTTCGGTTAATAGATTAAAGAAAAGGACTCATTTGACAATTCAATTCTTCATTTCGATGATGAAATTTGAACTCTTAACACATTAGTGTTTTAAATACATTTTACTTGTAGGTGTACACAAAGAAACTGAAGATTTTGTGCATGATATGTGTGTTGAAATAGAACGAAGGAGGCTTCAAAATTTCATAAGCGAGCAATAAACCTTGAAAACACATCTATGCCAATTTGCAATTGATACTATGGCTGAAACATATAGAGAAGATAAAGTTGGTCAAAGTATGTTGCTAGGGCTGTCAAATTTGGCCTAAGCCCAAATGACCCGCCCAACCCGCCCAAGGTTGGGTTGGTTATTGACCCGCCCATTTATTGAACTTAGCCCATCTTGACCCAACCCATCTCAACCCATTTAAAGTTGGGCTAATTTTTAGCCCAAATTGATCCATGAATAAGTTTGTCAAAATATCTTAGAAATAATTTTATTTTTTGTTTAATATTTTAAATATGACCATAACAAAAGCAAAAAAGCCTTATTTAGTAATTATACGATTTATAAGAAAATAACACATATTAATTAAAGTTTAATAAGAGTTGGGCGGGTTGGGTTATGACCCGAATTTTAACCCATCTTGACCCAACCCATCTTAGCCCAAGTAACTTTTGGGCGGGTTATTTGACCCGCCCAATTATTGACTCAACCCATTTTGACCCGCCCAAAATTGACCCAACCCGCCCATTTGACACCCTTATATGTTGCTTCCAGCATCACCTATTGGAGCAATCAATTTTCATACGGGAGATGTAAACTTCTTGTATATGTAATTTTTTACTTTATAACCCAATCAATTTCGTCTATGTATGCATATTAAAAATTTATAACTATGTTTTAGCATTTAGTAAGAAATTTATACAGAATACACGTGCAACGCATGTGTAGAGAGACTAGTAAAATTAAAGAGACGAGTGCTCCGGTAGTGACAACAACCATAATTTATTCTTACAAGTGTTTTATGATCCCTCATCTATTATGTATAGAAGAGATTCTGAAAGGATTATTTGGTTGAATCATGCTTTCCTGAGCCGGCATGTTTAGATATTTTGTGATTTTCAAAGAAGAAAAAAAACAAAGAGATGCTTGCTAGTTTCGTATTTACGGCGACAGTAGAGACTAATACTGTCTCTCAAGGTTGG